CTTTAAAAATCAAGCAACGCAAAACACATAAAATGCTAGAAATAGAACTGAGACATTTCATAGGAATCATTTATGATTATATGAAAAGAAAATAATGGTTTCGAATTTTGTTCTACAACTTGATTCAGCTTGTTTTCATTAATTTTTACAGAGTTTTTTTTTCTCTAGTTGTTTCTCAAAGGAAATATACCAATTGCTTACAGGCTGCAGAAAACAAGTAGTTTTGTAAGCCAGCCTTCTTCCCATTGTCTGATCATAGATGTTGATGCTCAAAATAATTAATGGAAAAACGCTTATAATTCTCTAGTGAGGTTTGTTTTCAGATGCTGTGACCAGTGTGTCTGAAACTCCCTTGGAGGGTTTCCTAGTAAAAAATCAAATATATAGATGAACGTTTAATGAAATCTATGGAATAAGCACCATTTAATAAGCATCATTTTATCTCTTTATTGAGTACTACTTACTGTTTATTTGCTAGCACTTCCCTTGTTAGTATTAAATGGATGAAAAAAAGGTCTGTGCCTGTGAAAGTCTGAGTCCAATGGTAGCAGGAGGCTCCATCAACAGAGGCAATATCCATTTTGGAGTAGGATCTTGGGCTCCAGGGGGAGGTTAAGGGAGGCATACATGATTCCTGCAGGAATCTGGAGGTCCAGGAGGCTGCGTGTGAAGAGTAGACAGTAATGGCAGCAAAAAGACCCTCTAAAATGGGTTTAATTCTAAGTGGCAGTCAACCATGGACATTTTAAGACCCAAAATAAAAGTGATATATTCCTATGTGGTCTCTCAAAAATGATTTTTTTTAAAAATGGCTTGACCTTAGCAAGAGTAATTTTTAACATCTTTTCATAGAAATAAAAACCAAAATACAATCAGACTTGGAAGAATTAAAATAGTCATTCCAGGAAAAGGGAGAAGGGAAAGGGAAGAAGAAAAGCACATTTAATCAAAGAGGAATTTTTGGTCAGCTTCAAGAGTTAAAGCTAGGCAGATTTACAAGTACCTTGAGAGCATTTGAAGGCAAAATGATGCTAATTATCAAGACTCTGCCAGCAGCTATAGTAGGGAAACCACAGAGAGAGTGGAAAAGCCTGACTGCTCCATTATCTGCTCTAACTTTAATTTTCTGTGGGGATAGTGTAACTTTGAATTTGCATTTCAGTGGCTCATTCTGGGATTGGAAATAACCTAGCAGGATGTCTAGGAAAACCGATCTAATAAGGAAACACTGGTTGTATATGCACTGCTCAGATCACCTGCTGTCTCACAAAACTGCAAGCCAAGAGGGAGAAGCATTTTCCTCTCCACTATTTCCTGCCCAGCTGGGCTGTGCAACCCTTCAGGGCAAGGAAGCACTGGCCAAGGTGGCTCTGTGTGTGCACAGAAGAAGATGCACCTCAAATGGACTAGTAGAAGAAGAACACCAGGCTTGAATTTACAGAAATGTTCTCCTGCCTCACCCTTATGTTTGTCACCAGCTACCGTCACCTGCTGTTGTCCAGGATGGGCTGCTTTCTGCCCTGGTGCCCAATACATTTTTATCATTTCCTTGTGCTGCCCTCTCTGCTTGTTGCATTTACCTGGTGTCTTTTATTTTATAAAATAATTGTAAACTGTGCTGAGTAGGAAATCTTCCTTTTGTACTTGGGCCCTGTCTCAGTACAGAGAGCAGTAAGAACAACAGTCACAACTCTTTCTGAGATACCTAAACCTTGCTTTTGTTTTTCTTGTGTTGTGGACTAATAAAAGGAGTGAAATGGCTGGGTTGGAGAGTCTGCAGCTCGTAATATCTTTTCCATGAATGTTTGCCCTCAGGTTGGAAATGTTGGACAATGCTGATGTTCTGAGAGTTGGTTTGGATGTTATGAGCTCCTCAGCTATTCTCTTACTCTGCAGCATTCCCAAAGGTGTTACAGTTTACTGTATCAGAGCTTTCTGAAAATAGGAGTATCATCATATTAGATAGCAGAAATCCATTAGAAAGTACTCCTAAAATTGCTTTCCAAGAACTATAATTTTAAGGGAGCATAGAAATAGCCCTATCTCCGGGTATCTCTGGAATTTGCCTTCTATTTGTTCTGCTTTTCTATTGTTTCAGAGATAACACTTTGGCAAGAGACAAAGAAGCAGATGTGAATGCTGATGTTGCACTGAGCATGCTTGGGGGAAGAAGTGTTTTAATCTGAAAGCTGCAGCTCTCTCAGCTCTAGCAGAGAAGGAGCTCAAATCCTAGTGGGTTTGCTACATCCTTACATCTCCTAATGGGTCTCAGGTTTTAGAAAAGCTGAACGCTCGCCTTTCTAACTTGATAGAATAAGAGCTTCAAATGACTTTTTCACAGAAGTGAAAACTCATCTTTTTATTATATTTTTAACTGGTTTTGAAATGCATGAAGTATTCCATATAGATAAAAGATGCACATTAAAGTTAAAATGAATTAAAATTAAGACCAAGAGAAGATTAAATGGTCTATCCAAAGTCACCCAGGGACTCAGCGGAGCTGAATCCCTTACATCAGGGTGGCATCCTATCATCAGGAGATTCTTGCTGCCATTGTAGGAAGTTGGTATTCCTGCTCCTGCTATCTGCAAGTACAAATGACCAGGCAAGGCACAAGGCCGTGGAAAATAGGCCTGTGAAAGCAAGCTGGTGTATATTAAATACTGCAACACGTAAAAGCTGTGGTCCCAAAGGTGCTGTTTGCAGAAGAAGGCAATGATAGAGCTCCATCCCAAAGATGGGAAGCTCTCTGCAAGTTAGAAGATACATTGGGCTCACTATTTTTAGTTTATTAAAACTATCTGTTATGTTTCTTTATTGTCTTCAGCTCTATAATGTCCTCAGAGATTTGTTGTTCTACTCATTGAAAAAGAAATGCAGCAGGCTGTATTTTTGTATCTCCTTCACAGACTGCACATTCAGGTTTACAGCAGAGGCATAACACAAAACAGATTTGGATGGGTCGAGTTAATAGTGAATCAGGTGTGCTTCCTGAAAAACACTTTCCTGTTCTTCAAGGGTAAAGGAAAGTTATCAGACTATGAGACTATGGCCTGGAGCATGTTGAAAGTATTTGTTTCTGATATGTTTTTTTACTTACTTTTTTTTTTCTTTTCTCTCTTTTTTTTCCTTCAAATACTGAAAGCTTAATCACAGGATATTTCCTATACATTATTCCCTTTATAACTGAGCAGAGTTATCAATCCATACACATTTCAAGGGATATGCTATATACAGGCAGGATTATTTTTTCTATCTATCTACTTAATTTGCCTTAGCAGGGTAGTTTCAGAAAATCATATTTGCCTAATCGTGCTCCACTTCATTATCAGCATCATTTTTTCCTTCTTTTGTAAAACAAATAAATTCAAACCTCAATTGGAAAGGCATTTAAATATGTATAATTTAAACTAGCTGCACAGTCATGACAAAAAATTATCTGCACAGATATTGGCACAGATTTTGTACCAAGTGAGTGACTTTTGGTTTTCCGCCTTTTTTTTTCTTTCCTATGGACATCCTCCTGTATGCTCTCTGTAGCTTTGCAGTTTTGTGTTCTGCAACATACAGTGGAGTGGAACTGGCTAGAGAGCTCTTCTGGTGTGTCATCACCTTCCCCTTGTGTCCTGGGCAGGGCACAAGAATGTTTTATCCAACACCAAGGTAAAATAACAACATTCGTGAGCTTCTCAAGAGGGTGCAGTAAGGTGGAGCTGGATGATATACTGATGCTCAAAAGAAGCATAAAGGTTCTGGCCTTCCACCTTGTTGCACATGAGCTCCTTGCACCTTCATTCCAGTATTTATAGGCTTCAGAAATATCCAGGTATATACAAGGACTAGAACTGAGGAATTTTGAGAATTCCACTCTAATGTGGAAAATTAGGGTGCAAACACTAATCCTTTCCATGCTCTACTTGGAGCATAAGTAATTTAGGTGATTTTAGGGTTTAGGTTCCTTGGAAGATATGATTATGTTGATTAGAGTGCTGATTTTCCCCGTTGTTCCCAGAGCTGTGAGTCTTTAAACAAAACTTCAGAATAGAACCATAAATAATGTTTCATCTTCGGGAGTTGTAGGTTTACAGCCCCACTGAAAACCATTCTGGACAGTAATAGAGAAGACAGACTTATTAGAATAGCTTCATGGACATATATTTTTAATCCCTTTCACCTCATTTGGAGAATTTGTCAGCTTTTGTGGATGGGTATAATGATAATAATGAGTAAATTAAAACAGAGAAATGCCATTTGTAATATGGGGAGTAAGAGGAAATTTGCAAATGCCAGAACAGTCAATAAAAAACATTCAAATAAACAGATATTTTCTGATCTGACAGAGGTTTAAAACTTTCTAGAGAAGTGACTGTTACTGCCAACATGTGATTAAAAACTTAGTATTACTAGCAAAATCTGCCTCAAATGGAAGTATGCTATGCTTAGGGTGGATTCTCCCTGCACCATAACCTCATGTGTTTAGATGTGTTTTGCTATTCAGAGCAAAAATTTCATTATTTATTACTGAGCTGAACTGAATTCAGGTTGTCTTTTTATTTTAGCAGAGTGTGCATGCTAGCACGCATGCTTTTACAGCGCACCTAAATGCTGGCAGTGCTGCCAGCACAGCAGTACCATGTCAGATCGATGAGACTGTGCTTTCTAGGTCTGCTATATCAGTAAATCAAGAGTGAATTATTTCTTTTCCTTCTCAGCCTTTGCTGCCTGCCCGCTGGCCCCTCCCCTCATGCCGGTTTCTCTCTGCTCAATGCTTTGGGGAAGAAAGTGCAAGTTACCCCGTGCTTGCTTTATTTAAATTCCTTCCCTTTTGCACCAACCCTCGCCCACGGGCGCAGAAGAGTGAGGCGAATGGCTCAGCACCCCCGGGAGAGCCCAACCTGGCTGCTGGCTGCGGAGGGCAGGAGCGAGAGCAGAGCAGCCGCACTCACTGCAGCCTTTTTTTTATGCAGGCTGCCCCTTCCCTTTAAAGCAGAGCAGCCCTCCCTTGAGCAGCAGGCTGATTGCTTCCCCTCAGCCGCATTTGGTATGCATGAGCACTGCTGCTCCAAGACAGGAGGTTGCTTTCTTAAGGAGGATCAGTGGCTACAGCAAATCCACTTTGCCAGCCTTCTCGCCGCGTGCCGGCAAGGCGCCTTGCTACCTAGGGAGCTGCACGTGCAGACGGGGCGAACATGGGATGTCCAAGCGGTGGCGGATCCTTGCTTTGGTAGGCACTGTCAGATTCACAGCTGATTTTTCCAGTGGAATTTGTGGAGGGTGATGAATCAAACCGATGCTCCCCGGCCGCTAAACTGGACCATCCGGAAGCTGTGCCATGCCGCCTTTCTCCCATCCGTCAGACTTCTTAAGGTACTGTGGAAACCAGCGCGTGCCTTTCTGTGTCTCCCTAGAGCACTCTAGTTCATGCTGCTGAAAGTTAATTCAGAAATTGTCTCAACTTTGTCATTAATTAGCTTACCAATCCACCTTTAAAACCCCTGTGAGCACCTGAAGATACCAAAATTGGGCTTCTGTACTCCAATTCTGGATGTGTAGCTGTTGATAAAGATCTAGGAGATGGGTAAAAACATGGAAAGGGTGTAAGACATGATGGAGGCAGTCTATGTTTTAGTTTGCATAGGCTGATAAAAGAAGACATGAACTTCTAGGGAAGAATAAGAAATCGAGTCTAAGGCGTGTGTGCGTGTGAGCAGTCTTCTGTTATCTAGTATTTGCAGTTATTCAGATACCGATAGGTACAGTACCGCTCAGACAAACCTGTAAATGGAGCAATATGTGTGTGTGGATGAAAATTGTCTTGGTTTATTGAAAACTGGACAAAGAAGCAGAGATCAGTTAAAGATCATCAGGGCAGACAGCTTCTGTGAAACTTTCTGATGAGATTTCTTTTTTTTTTTTTTTTTTTTTTGCCTAAACAAGGTGCCATAGGTTGCTTTCAAAGATGCTTTAAAATATGCCTTCCTAAAAGATAATTATTTGAAAATTACTTTGGTTATAAGCAATGGGAGGGATTCTTATTCTCAGCATGTGAAGCACCACAACTACTGCGTGTCCAGCTTACACTTTTTCTAGAGATGTATGTAACTGGAAAACAAAAATATCGTGAATCAACTTTCTGTTTGCTCTTGCATCATGTTAATTTGTTTGAAAACATAGTGCATATATAAACAATAAAATCAGGTTCCTGTAGAATTCTATATTTGTAATACTTTTTTTTTTATATATATTTTTTTAAATGCATGACATTGGTTATCTCCGCTCATCTTAGTACTTCATAGTTGTCTTTGAAATTAACATGCGGCCAGGTAAAACATGGCTACACTGACAGAGTGATGGAATGCAGTGATTGACACAATCATTTGATTTTGCTGATAAGTTTATAGGTTGAAACCAATTGAGTCCTCAGTAATGCAACATATTTGTACAGTAGTGTACTGTATGGCAGCACACTTACCAGACAAATAATGCACATATAATTATTGTATATATGAAGCACAACAACCACATCATGTTTGATGACAGGTATTTGTCACACCCTGGCAGGAAGGGACTATCCTAGAAAAATGTTATTTTTCCCAACCCATATGACTACCTATATGCTAGCTACCCCGTGAGCAGCTGCAAAGAATAGAAATAAGGTATACATTAGGTATGCTGAAAGATCAAAATATAATGAAGTGTAATACCCAACAAATCAGGAAGCAGTGCTGATTATCTTGCAAAGGCTTTTTTTTCTTCTTACAGAAGCCATACTTTACAAGGTAATATATCTAGGAAAGCATAATTTTCTCAGGGTGTGATGTTGGGGATTTTACCAGGATTCTCAATATTACCAAAATTGTCTTTTTTTAAAATTTATTTTTTATCAAACAAATGTTGCCCCCTGTGTACAGTTTTCCTTCACTGCACTTGTTTTAAGGGTAAATGTCATTGATCATTTATTAAAGGAGCTAACTACAGAATGTTTTCTTGTGGCTAAAGCTCTCATCTTTTGGGGACAGAAAGCGAGCCGAGGTGCAGGTGCAGCAGCATGGGGTGCACAGCCCTTGCATGGAGGCCGGGGAGAGGCCGGAGCGGAGGAGCTGGGACTCGGGCAGCTCCGGCACTGGCAGCGCACGTGCCAGCATC